GTAGAACCTAACAAGCAGTGATATATTAACGTGAATTTTCCGAAGAAGGAATGATGATTCGACGCATTTGGCGCATCGCTGCATAAAGGACAGACGGCCTTGAGCGGTTCAGAGTCAGGCTACTCACATGTCCTAGCGGATAGTTCTCGCGAGTGTTTTCTAAGCACCTACATAATGATTATCGTATTCGACTACCCGCACAATGCTTTCGACTCATAATTGCCAGCGTCAATTTCAATAACAGGAGAGCAATCCATCGAATCTTGTACATTTCTGTTCAGTAAGAGATGTAAGTGTTATGCATGCATGCATGGGGATCTAATACTATAATATCTACTCTTTGTACAGAATTCTGCCTATACAGCAAATTGTCAAGGTGTGCGTCACAAGCAAGCTATGTGCGGTAAAAACTAAGTAACGGGCTGAAAGCGATAGTTTCCGATGATTTACCGCCATAAGTAACGGTGTCTACGCATATTACATTGCCTGTGTAAATAAAGAAGCTTTTGTCTATATTCAATAGCTGAAAAGATCTTTTTAGTTAACAGAAGGAACTGAAATTAGGTAACAGATGAATAGTTAGGATCGGTCCCCATTGACCCCCCACGCCTCAGCGTCTATTATTCATATTTAACGATACATTCGACTGAATGCAATACTTGACAGTTCTCAAATTGACAGCTTTTTTTTTTTTTTTTTTTATCTTCGACCTGCAGACACAACTAATTTCATCTTAGTCCAGCAGTGTTGCATAATCTTCTTCCAATCATATGATATCCAACTTGGCCAGCTGCAGCGATTTGTGCAACTTCCAGTCGCATCCGTAAGCCTCTAATATCGATTAGATACCCCGAGTCTTGCCCCGGCTTGCCCCTATTCTTTATCGCTGAATACAGTAGCCATTGATATATGTAATGACGTAAATTGGATTTTTAGCCGCGACATAATCCACCCCATAATAAAATATATCACGGTTTTGCGGAAGGGCGAAAGACCGATGGTCTAAACAATTGAGAAGAACCTGAACCGGAGGTATTCAGATGAGTGTCCAACTGAAATATGTTAATCTCCTGGGTGAAGCTCATATCCTCTACTAGATCCAGAATTGTTCTACCTATATCAAAGCGGGCCATGATACTGCTGTAACAAGGTTCGTAGAATCCTTCATTGCTAAGACCCTAACTTGAGGATATAGATTAAGATAGCTAAGCGTCGATTATAGCGAAACGGAGGTTAACTTATCTTACAATAGTTTCCTGTGCATCACTTTCTGCGTCTACCGTACAATGCAAGTACATGCCGTTCACGCTTAAAGTCAAAAAAGTTTGCTAGAGAATTCTTTTTTTCTTGTGATTATCAAGTAATTATTGTTGATATGTTAAAACCCTCGATATTTTCGTGACGATTCGACAACTACGATAATTCGCGCATTGTACTACTGTTATAATGTCTGTCGGCACGCCGCTGACATATTCGAAAAAAGAGACAGAAAGGGATAGAAAGAGAAAAATACTAACAAAAAAAAAGAAGTCTAACTTAAAATTATAAGAAATATATGTATGTGGACTCTTCCTGCTGCCATATTTCAGTCATCGAATGCGTTTCTGCCATGGTAAGGTTCGTAGCGGTTTGCCTTTGGCATTGTATTTTATATCGGTTACGCTAAGCCACTCACAGATAACAGAAAGGTAGCCTATAAACCCAAGTTGATTGTCTTGAAACTAGCCATCAAGTTAACCCAACTAGGTGGTCAGCATCTACGGTTCTTATAGCCCCCAGCATAAGTTTGTTTTTCTTTTCCATTTAGAATCATCAATTATGCCATTGGTTACCGTATCACGCCTAAGTGACAGACCGAAGAGCGGTTTAGTGACCTCCTCTTCGATCGGTTAAGATTCTAAGTTCTCTAGGTAAGAAATGAACCCTATTGCTCAAACAACGAACGCGAAGAGATACTCTGAGTAAACCCGCTAACACGTAACACAATGCGATCCTTTCGTAGTGAATAAAATTCCAAAATGCAAGAATCCTTAATAAAGAAGGAGCCACCTATCTCAGATATTAACAAATATCAGGATTTGAATTATCAGAAATTTTGAACTATCGGAAAAAAGACCCATTGCATTTTATATATTTCTTGACCATTGAGTTATGTTTACTAATAACATCAGGAAGAATCGGAGACCTCGTGACCTCGCAACCATATTGACGTATGAGTAGAAAAATAAATTTTGTCGATCTGATTTCACTCGAAAAAACTTGCATTAATTATTTTACAAGGATTCCACAAATTCGTAGGTACACCCCTAAAATAATAGTCAACTTCTAGACGTAGCCACGGTCCTTGTACAAGAATTTTATGCGTTTTCGTTTCGGTATAAAGACGAAGATCAGACGGCGCGCGACAAGTTACAGAAGCTTCGCGATTTATTTTAGAAGGTAGATATCCTACTTATGCTAATTATCCTGAAACTATATAGAACCGTGTACGTCAGCATTGATAACCAGCCTATGGACTTGATTAATATTCAATTATCCAAGGGCCTTAGCACATTATCATAAACGACAACGTACTAAGGCAGAGCAAGGTACGCATTTTATATTTACTGTGCAAAATATCCATTAGCGTAAAGCTAAAGCGTCCCGTCCATTGCTAGCAACCACTAGCGAGATTAGATCGGTGAAGGCCTGATCGATGTGTCTAAAATTCTCGGGAAATGCTACCTCACACGCATTTGTGAATCTTCTGTATACTGTTAGTACAAAGGCTTTCTATGGATATTAGTGAATTGGACTATAATATGGCTCACTGTATTCCCTTGAATTTGTTACGACTATAATTAGACAGTAAATGTCACTCGAAGTTAGGACAATGCCCTGTTCTTTCTTGCACTGCGTAATGCCTTCAAACGGATTCTGCAGTAAAATAACTGCTGGCTGTATTTCTTTCTTTAAATTCGGCAATGGTTTTAATTAGTCACTATGCAGTGAACACGAAGCATCTGCCTTTCTATTTCTAGAATAAGGTTTTTTCCTTTTCTGACGTAATTTGACATTTTTCGACCTAGTAAACAGGTTGCCGCAGTAACTCTGGTGGGAACGCAACGGATTCGAAATATCTTCCACTTTTGTTTCAAGATCAACCCAACGCGTTAACTGTTTACACAACTTGTTCTAGTCTAATATACCTATTTTCTCAAAAAGTAATTTTTTTTTTACAGGTCACAACGTGATAGGTTCTTTTCGCAGAATTATCTTAATGCAAATTTCAATTCTAGTGCAAAAGTTCTCAGTTGGTGAAAATATGCAGAGCTAGCTCCCGTTTGATGAGTGCGTATGAAACCTGAATGCAAGCGCTACACCTCAAAACAAATGAAGATCAAAGAGTAACCTGTCAAGCTTATCTAAATGGTTATAAGAGTATTTATAAAGAGACAGAACAATACCCCCTTTGTCTGTGACATATATTGCATATGGCAAACATGGATGCCGATCAAAAATACAATATCAAAAAACGAGGCAGATCTGAAAAAAAAAATAAAGATAAATCTGTTTCTAATAATTTCAATTGTATGCAAACTAATTGTCATTTCCTTTTTGAGAGAGAGCAGAGTTTTCGCTAGACCTAACTAGAATAGGGTGTGATGTATTTAAGGCGTCATATATGAAGCGATATATGAAGCAGGCGATTAGTAGTACGACGGCAACCCTCGCACTAGTCGAGTTCCAGAGACTCAGATCGAAATATGTATATCAGAATTGACCGACGTATTTTATGTAGGAATATGGAACGACTCCGAGGACTGATGTTATGTTCAGGGTTTAAGTAAGCGAAAAACATAGCATGCGCCAATAATAAGTAGGCACACCGATCGATACTGTCAAGTTGCTGGGTGCTTCGTTGAATTTTAAAGGAACCTTGAAAGTTGTGTCATACTTTTCCCGATCGCAACAAGATAGATTGCCTTGGGAAAATCTAGGAATCTTCTCCCTGGTTCTTCGACCTGAGTGTAGATGTTGACAGAGACAAAATCTAATGAATTGTTGCACGACCGGGGCAGCAAGGGGCAGAACACGCATGTGACAGCCGTTGGCACTGTAAAGCAGTACACTCTGATAACTAACATCTATTATAAGTATGCTTCTGATGTTACCGTAATTAAAGATTGCTCCAGACGACTGTCCACCGAAGGCAGCTGAGACGAACGTGACTCTACGCTTAGTACGTTCGAAACTGCAATTGAGGCACTTCAATGGTACTATAGCTTCAAAGCCACTGCACCATCACGAAACCGAAACCGATACTTAAAGTAGCGTTAGTATATATAAATGTAGGTACCTTTTTAGCTTAAACAGGCTACAGTCGACACGACTAATCAAGTTACGTTTCATGTTCTCTTCTGCTTGACAGAAAAAAAAAGCTTTGTTTCATACCGATCAATCTCGATTTGCATAAATCTAATAAGTGATTATAACGTAACCATCGTGTTAACCATAAACAAGGTTAGTTTCTACTGGGATGCAGTCTCGGGAAGCTGGTGTTTCCAAAACTCAGCATAGATTAAATTTAAAATACGTGCGGCAGACAATTAATTTCTTGGAAAAACGAGGTGGCAACGTGTTATACATGAAGTAGCGAAAATTTGCTAGCGTGCGGACCGCTGGCTTCATTGTGGCACGGACAAGCGTCCAGCGAATAGTAGAATGCCTGGTCTAGATAGAGGAAATCCATTGAATATTTATGAATGAAAGTAAGTCGACGTGCGTATCTCAGATAAAGGCAGGCACTGCAAACGACTTTCATTCATCGCTGCCTGTTGTTGAAATTTGTTGTCAAACGATAGACGTGTGCGATAGATCATTAAGTTAATTTAATTTTGTCTCTTTCATTACAATGTGACGAAAATGAAATTGAAATGGCCTTGCTCATGAACGTACTTAGCGAAAATCCTGAAAGAATGGCTGGATGTTTACTAGCGTTGAATTACAGTTAAAATGTGCCTATTTTGGCGGCTTTCCTATCCGTTCTACAAGAGTTTAGCGAGACTGGAGACACAAAAAAAGCAGTGGGCTTCTTTATAAATGAAAGGTAACGTTTAGTGATATTTTATTCTTTGTTTTACCGATAAGTTAGACTGCTGAGTCATTGAAAAAATCTATTAAAAATTTCAGTCTCAAATGCATTTTTTCTTTCTTTTTTTATAAGTAAAGCTACTTTTGGGTGAAACGCGTAATATTATGCTATAGCTAAGCCGGAATAGGGAGTAGGGGGTTCTTTAATCCCCAGCTCAAAAGCCTTGAAGATAAATTTACACAACGTTCTTATTAAATAAATAATATAAAAATACCGGTTACGATGAAGTGGAATAGTCCTATTTATTCTGATGATCTGTTACACAACGTGCCTTCTAAACCAGTGCTGACGATTTCTGATATGATTAAATAGATCGCTAATGACTGAGCGGTGGAATCAGTCATGGAAAATGTCCTAAGATGTATATGTTGTATTAGAAAATTTTATTAAAGTAAACAATTAGTAAGAGTCATTGTTGTGTTGTAAAAGATGTTTAGAATCATCACGTCCTAATACAAATGCGCCAGTCAGTGACTGAAGCTGTAATTTAATTTATAATAATAATAATGAAAGTAATTTAATTAACGTTTTCAATTCTGTTTGTATTCTTGATTTTAACATCGATCTAACTAACCGCTACTGTTTTTTTCATAAATCAATATATATTTTAGTGCGTTATATCTAGATTTCGATGAACTTCCATACGAGCAACCGTTTTTTACGATATTAAATTTCTACTTACAGCACTTTTATTCTGTACAATTTAGAAGCCACTCGATTAGTCCTTGGTCTAACAATTATTAAATCGCGTTAGCTATAGGGGACGGAAAAAGGTCCTGCTATAACCTCATCAGGACAAACAGGCTGTTACAAGTCGACAGCAATCATTTTTCAGTTTCGTCTTCAGGCATGTTTTCTCATGTCGCTAAATTTGTATTTTACTCGGAGTCTTCACACGGTTAGCTCGCGTTAGGATCTGTCCTAAAATGCGGTTTTTCAATCCAAGAATGGGTTATGAAAACATCTTCATAACATATAGACGTCGTTTCCGTAAGCCAAGAAACGTAGGTATCGCAATATAAGCTGACAGAAAATCATATTTAGTTATTATTTACCGCTTCAATTTGAATGAGCTTTAATTGACGCTAATTGTTAAGACCATATAAAGATCTGTTTTTTATCGTAATAAAACTCTTAAAACGAAGATTACGTGCTTTGCGTGATCGAAGTTTCTCCTTCACGCGCCACCGTTACGTACCATAATTGAAAGTACAAAAACGATTAGAAAAATGAAATTATTATTTAACAAACTGATACTGATAAAAGCGTAGAAAAAGATCCAAAAAAGAAAAGAAGAAAAAAAAATGGTGTAAAAAATTACAGTGGGACACTTCGTTAACAGGGTGTATCTATATACAGCGGCCGCGGGACGAAACGGAATATTGAATAGCATGAACCTAATAAGAGAGAAAAAGGCGTGTAAAATATATTGAAATCGAATTACTTGGTCACCTCGTAGATGCCTTATACTATTGTTTAGCACAACTAGCGTAAGTTTGATAAAAAAAAAAAAAAAATTAGCGCTGTGATTTTCAGCTTATTTATCCTAAATTCGTCCGTAAAAAACTAAAATGAGCATTTTCATTTGATTTTATCATATTAGACATAGTTTTGTTATGTATGTATCTTTAGCAGTATGGGTCGGTTTTAAATTTACCAAGGTGACATCTCATGTTATTATTACTAATGGGGGCGTCAAAGTTAAGCTTTGTGCGTTCTGTCGTCACAAGATTGCCAAACGTCTATTGCCTGTTTTTGTATTGTCGTTTATACGTAAATGTATGTCTCACTCACCCTACACTGGCCATGTCGGCGTGAAACGACACAGCGTTTGAGAACGATTCAATGTCGTTACCATTTGTAGCACTCCTCCAACCATCCGCTACTCATACTGCTTCAGATTCTACTGCTAAACAGTAAAGCTAGTCGCTGTTGAAGCAACCGAACGGTGGATTCATACGGAGAAAACGAGGATTACGAAGGCCATTAAATAGTTTCGACTGCTCTAAGGTATATTCGAGTTAGTGGTATCGAAGCAGCTACCTCGAACGTTCGATAATCAGCCAGTGACTAGATCGGATAAAAACGTCTGCAACACAACGATAAAACAGTCTACGGGTACGTAGATTTATTCTACTCTATGCTTGATAGCAATGACTGTTATTATTATGTCATATAAATTGTACGATCAATCGGTGGTAGCAGTAGAAATACACATCAACTAAAAGCTAAAAAATCTCTACATGGCCTCTAATAGTAAATCGCTAAAAAAATAAATCGACTAAAACGTATCTAATGCAAGCTAATTTTTTTCAAGTTAACCTCTCGGTGTGTTTAACTTCATTCCCTTGAGGTATTGAAGGCTAGGAATAATTAACTGATTTAGAGCAATTGCTGAAAGCTTATTTATTCGTTAAACAGCTGACAAAATTTCTTCTAGCAAACATACAGTATATCGAAACCTTAGTCTAAGGCATAAAAATAGATACCTAGTATTCAACTTGTTCTGCGCAGGATGAGTTCGCCGTTCCCAGCCATTCTGAGTTTGGGCGTAGTCGCCATTATTGCGCAAACGAGTGTCAACTCTTCGCCGACAGGTAAATTTTTCTCTCCCTTTTTGAAAAGAAAAACATAAAAAGCATTCATAAAAGATAAATCACGATATCGCCAAATTGCATGGGCTTGTTTAAGGAAAAAAACAGCATATCTTCGTCAAATTGCCACGATGATGCAATTTAAGAAACCACCCCCAATGGCATTGGACTGACCTTTCAGATTCACATTATAATTTCAAGGAGAAGATTGTCCATTTAGATCTCAAAGGAGCGCCTTTAGCAGTAAGTTATTGAAAAATAGAGTAAAAGCGAAGATTTCCAAGTTTTATATGAAGAGGCCAAATTTGGTTACTTTCTTGCGATCGCTAGCAGTACTCAAATAAACTAGATTTTAGAACATTCTGGTGGGGAAAATATCGTTTTAAAATGTTAAAAATAGAGAATCGTCTATTAGGTAGACTCGCGGCTTCATTACCTTCATGATATTACTCTCGGTAAATAGTGAATGGCCTCATGTGGAAGTTTCGATAAACGCACGTTGCAGCATTATGAACATATTAACTCGTCCCATGGGGTTCTGTTTATAGATCTCATACATGGAAAAGGTGTTTCCTTTGCTTCGAAAAATGGGTGCTACCGGTTTACTTATTGAGTACGAAGACATGTTCCCCTATTCAGGCTCTCTACGTAACCTCACCGCTCTAAATCACTACTCGGTAGAAAATATCAATCGGCTCTTAGCGGCAGCGCAATCGAACAACCTTACGACGATGCCGCTAATTCAAACCTTCGGCCATCTCGAATTTAGTCTGAAGTTAGAAGAACACATCGAACTTCGGTAGGGTTATTTGTTATTCCGCAAATAATTTCATATAAACGATGTTTTTTTTTTTGTGAAAAAGCGTTTGACCTAACGGATACGTCTGCTTTCACATTTACATTGTAGGTACGTGTCAGTCTCGCTCAAAACCTATTTTGCTTTAATGTTGTGTCTCTCTTATTGTACCCCTGCTGCCTTTATGCCGACGTAAATTTACTATCATCATGCGTACGATATCAAATGATTCCAGTGAAAACAGTACAAACCCGCAGGCATTGTGTCCGTCTTTGAATGAAAGTATGCAAATGATTCGTGAGATGATTCGCCAGGTTGTTGATCTTCACAAAGGCTATATTACCCATCTTCACATCGGAAGCGATGAGGTGTTTGTCATTGGCCAATGTTCTAGGTATGTTCACGTGTAACCCAGCTCTTCAACCGTGTAATAATGGCGATGTAAACAGACGCCAAACTATGTGATCGATATATTTACCTTTAGGATGAAATACACGTGTGAACTCTTATTTTTCTGTGCCCATAATTTGTCTCTGCGTGGAAATTTGCTCAAGTTCCGCAGGGAATTACTATCATAATCAAAATAACAAATATTGTGTGTATAAATATTGCTTATATTATTATAATTATTATTAATGAATAACTAATAATAATAATAAATATAGAGGATATAAACTTTAATTACGATCGGTAGAATTTCGCGTCGTAGAACTTTTCCGATGTAACAGGTGCAAAGCGAGAATGGTCCTCCGCAAATGGACAACAGACGATTTGTTCCTTGATCATGTATTCGAAGTGGCTTCAGCTGTCAAAGAACTCGGTATCCAGCCCGTGATGTGGGACGACATGCTTCGAAAGGTACTTTATGTTCGTAACTATGACGAGTGTGGCTTCTAGGTTCCCATAACGTTTGCGAGTCTCATAGAACCTAGAGGGAAATAACATTTGTTCATCACATATATAAGTAAAAACAATTTTGCGTTCTCGCTGAACTAGCCTCGGGACACCTTCGCTGTTTTTTGTATTTGTATCACAAATGTAGTATTGATTTTTACAGGATTTTTACAGGAGTACAGGATTTTTAATGCCTTTGTGTCAGTACATTGATTTTATATCAAGGACGTTTCTCCTATTTGGAGTATTATAAACAAATCAGACTAATGTCCCAACAAAAAGTGTAAGCGATAGAGCAAAGACAGCAACACTAGCAGTGAAAATTCGAAATAAGAGAAAACATTATTGCCTCGATAAGTCTTCTGTGGTTATTTTTAGAATGACATACCTATACAAAAGCGAATTTTCTCAACTTAGCGTCAGTTATCCCCTTGCTCGGCAGATTTTCAGAGTTATCCTGCTGTATTGTGTTAGTTTGAAAAGAAGTTCCTCGCTGGAATTTCTATTTAGTAGATCTGAGGCAGCAAGGAACTTTTCCTTGTAGGCTTGGCCCTTCCGTTGAGTAAAAACATAGTTGATCTGAACCAGCGATGCCGCGTACGACGACGTATCCAAATGGATGTATACTAGCTACCTAGACTCAGCTGTTTCCAGAATGTGATTTACATTTTTACTTATGTTTATAGAAAAAACCTGACACTGATATAGGTGTGTTATTTTGCCATAGGTTGATATGTCAAAACTGTCACAGTACAAAAACCTAAGCTCTCTTGTCGAAATCATGGTATGGCAGTACTCGCAAATTCTATCTTCTGATGTGCTGCTCGCAATGGAGAAGTATATCGCGCTTAATTTTCCTGGAATATGGGTGGCCAGTGCTTTCAAGGGAGCTACAGATCCGACCTATCAACTCCCTGATTACACGACCCGCCTGGGAAACAATATTGCCTGGGTTTTAATGGCCAGAATCTTCGAAGACAGACTGAACATCAAAGGCATCGTCCTCACCGGTTGGCAACGGTAACGTAGCACTTAATTACTTAACCTGTATCACAGGTTGGGCAAAATCGGCTATATATACGAGATTAATAATTACTCTATTAGTAATAATCTGCACCTTTAAATGCATATTTTGGCTCGTATGTGCAATCGTACACGTACCTTACGTGTCTTGTAAGCCCCAAACCGTACTACGGCGAGATTTAGGGGCTTTAAAGCTGTGTCAGATACCCTATTGTTTCTAGTATATGTAAGAGTACTGCTCTCAATTCCCGACATTAACTGCCAAGTCGAAAAGAGTTTTACTAATGAACGTGATAATTCTTCCTGAATAATGGACCATGAATAATCAGAAAAGCGCAAATCTAATTAAAACAAAACTGTTTGGTATGCGTCAAGGTATGTATGGGTAAGTAGGAAACAATGTGATTCAATCGGGTAAATACACCCGCTGTCTACTGATGATTCAATTGCGTAGGCCTGTTGGTGCGGGAGGCCTACGCGCGACCTGCGAGTTAAAACCCAAGTAAAAAAGGAGGAAGATCATTACGGTAATCAGGCAATGCGTACAGAACACATAGAAGAGGCGGCACCAGTCTTTTTTTCTTCAATGCCCGTTTGCATAATCCTCTTCGTTATTATTCGCGTAAACGGTAGCAATATCATGTGTAGCAAACGAATAGTTTTTATTGCAAAAAAACAATGTGATATTACAGGTTTGACCACTTCACTGCTTTGTGCCAACTCTTCGCATCATCCGTACCAGTGCTTTCACTTTGTCTTGCATATCTCAATACGGGATCCTACGATACCAAGGTAATAATTTCCACAATGACGATTCCTTTAAACCCTGGAGCATTTCAAACAGTATCCGAATCGAATGGATATTGAATTTAGTTAATATTTTCAAGCGGATTCCGTATGTGTAGGTTGCAGGAAAGAACTTTTAACGACCACCTCCTTCAAGCAACGGTTCCGGAATTTTATTGCATATAAATAAACTTTATTCACTGTTTCTAAATATGAACAAAACTACTGGACCGCTTTGTTATCGCCACGGCTCACATTAATAGGCATCTGATCCTATATCTGAAAAGAGCAGAAGGTTATTTGGAGACATGCAGTGCCTAACGTCGTAGAAAAGTTCCGCTCATTCATCCAGAGGTGCCGAGTCGAACATTTCTTCACGAAATGATTAGTAAATCTCTGCGTAAAAAAAATTCGTACGCAATAATAAGTAATCGCGCTTACAGGTCTTGGGGGATATTCAGAAGCTGCTGAGGTGCAATCATCCGATAGCTCTAGATGATTTTTCCCAGCCACTGCTTGCGTGCGACTACCCGGGATCGAAGGTCCTCATTGCGATACAACAATATAATCAAATTCGTCAAAAAAGACTGCTTACAGAAGCTAAAAATACTTACAAGGTTTGTATAGTGTAAGGAATGCCTTAAAATAGTCATTCCATGGTGGTCGCACTGGAATAAACGGGTATTTTCATGGTACTGTCAATATAAGCGGTTCAGTCGTCCTCCGCTGTTATTTTTCCCTTATTTTTTTCCTTCTATACAGCTAATTTTGCAATAGAGCCCCAACCCTACTAATCATTTGCATGTGTTTTAAAAACACTCTTATAAATAACTTAACCTACATAATTAAATAAGAACTTCACCTACACTTTTATGTAGATTACTAGAAGAAAATTATGATTTTCTGCTAATGATTTAGACTAAATCTTTACGCACGAAATATTCGTATTCATCAATGAACGTTCTTGCATAATAATTGCATTGCGCTAACCCAAGCGGATTGTAATGGTAGTAGCCGTAACCGTTGCAACAATCAATGTCTTCGTCCAACAGAGTGACAGGCATTCTGGATTTGTTATCTTATTGACGCCACAGACGTATAACAAAACAGGTGAAAAGAAACACGGCACATAGTACTTCAAGTCGGGGGTTGACACATTCCAATGTAACCTTGATTTTCATTGATTTTGGCGGAACTGAAGTTCGCGGATCGTTAGTAGTAGTAGTAGTAGATCGTGACTCATGTAGTCCTGTAGGCCTAGCGGTTTAGAGCCGAGGTGATTCAGTGCAATTGTACTTTGCAACCGTAGTTGTCTTTTGTTTTCAACAAGTACACTGCTCTCATTAAAGGCAACGATGACAGCGATGAACCGGAATCACAATTTTAGCAGTCCTTCAACTTTACGTTCTGCAATCTCAGAGATTATGGCTATGCAACAGCTGGTTAAGACAGTACAAGAAAATCTGAATGAGCTCGCCAGTATCACGGATGAGGCCACCCTGCGAGAATGGACGGATACATACCTCAGCCCAGAAATCGCCTGGATCAATGAAGTTCAACGAGCTGCAGATAATATGCTCTGCCGTAACGCATGGCCTCGTAGGCCGCTTTATAATGACACACACTAATGACATTTTTCAGACTCGAGTAATTTTTTCCGGATATCGAAGGGTGGCATTATTTTTAATCACATGCTTAAGCTGTAGCATACTATTCGATATTTAAGAAGAAGAACATAGTATCCAAGAAGTAGGCACAATCTTATGGCACTACGATGTAAGTGGTACCATAGGGGTACCTCGATCGAGAGAATGTAATTTTTGGTGGTGTAACTCTGACATAAAATATATGGCAGTACCAACCGCTTATTACTTACTTTATTGTTTTACTCAGAATGTCGAAGAAAAACCCTATCCACTTCTCGAGAAAATTTCGGGTCAGGTACTTCTGACAGCTTCCAAGTACTGCCAGCATGTCGTATACTCTGCTTTCGTCAAATGTTGCAGTCAGTTAGCTGAATGGCGCAAAATTAACATCGGTTACAGGAGTTCACCTACCGGGCACACACGATCCAGAGCGTGACGGCGGGTTTATTGCTATTTTATTATTATTGCTCTAATAATAGCATCTTTATAGTGTTTTGAATATATAGCTTGAATTTTCTCCCTTGCATGGTGAGTAAGCGAACCCCGAATTAGCCTGGGCGCATCATCTTTTAAGAATGTGTTACTAAGATATTGTTTACGGTTATTTTCCTTCACTAATTATGCTAGTATATAATCTCTGAGCTGGTTATTAGCTGCTAGATAGAGCTGGTAGCTCCGAATTATGGTTATAAGGCTTTATGTTGCGACAAATATTTTAGTAGCTTGCGGCAAATCGCTTTCAGACAACTTTTCGACCCAACAAATGCTACTTTCAATCTTATCGCATTAGACATTAAAAGGGGTATGCATGCCAGATGGGATCATCACGATTACGTTGTCTTTAATATTGGCCACAAATCGCGTAAGAATCATTTGTCTTATATTGTGCCTTACACAGCCTTTGTGACGGATAAGCCATTTCCAAGTTTCAGACTAACCTTGAAGAACACGTCGGAGAAGCTTCACAGCATAAAATCTTTCGATGTACACGGTTATGGATCTATATCAAAATAGTGGGTTTGAGAAGCAACTTGAAATACGACTGGGTTTCATAATACGCTATGATCGAAATCCATCATCTATTAACCTTTGTGCTTTAGAAGATAGATTTGCGTCGAACGGATATGTCACTATTTGTAGGTAAGAGTTCGTGCTCCCCGGAAAGATTTGTCGGACGGCTAACGTTAGTGGGACGTTGTGATCTATATTCGAACCTGTGCGTAGGCGCACTTCGTTTTGTATTGGGAGCCAGCTGTCTGATGGAATACCTACCGAATAGGTTAGGAAGCTTGTAGGATGCTAGCACTTCATACGTTGTCACATAAGCAACTTTATCTGATATCTTTGCAAGTGTATTCTTTGGCTCTTAATTCAACACGCGACTATTGGGTATCTATAATGGTTCCACGTGCATTGTCGATGTTATAATATGGCAGTATTCAAACCTGATTTCTTCAGACGTTATAGCCGCTATGGAGAAATGTACGTCGTTCGAGTTTTGCTCGATATGGATTGCGAGCGTGATTAGCGGCGCAGTGAATCCGACAAGTCAAATGCGCTTGCCTCAGTGATGACATCTTGCGGTACGTGGCAGCTTTCGTGAAGTCAATTTTGGTGGAATCGTGTTTACCATGTGTGAGGTACCGACAGCGTTAGACCTGCTAGATTGTTTATGTTGTGAGTTAGCTTAGAAAAAGTAGCGTCTTTGTCTTTAATGAACTAAACCATACTTGTACACGGTGACGAGCGTAGAAAGAAGCGTGGCAATTTTTGGTAAGCTTGTAACGTTTTCATTCTAACATTGCTCTACTGTGACGATGACAGATGGGTCTTTATCTGAAATGGGAACTTAGATGCCACCTAAGTTGTTCAAATGCATGAAACCCTTCATCTTTCTCACGGCGGAGCGGTATTGAAATGAAAACGTCAGATCTCTACTTCGAAGTAAGTTCGGCTAAATACTATGCTTCATGCTCGTGTGATACGGCAAGTAACAGGTTTTATCAACCATGATGGCCAACGTGATACCTTGCTTATTACGTCTAGATATTCGTATATACGTAGAGATTCGAGTCTATAGTGGAAAGAAGATTGGTGCTATTTAGGACTCCTCGTTTATTTTTGCGTACTATAAGAAATCATTATTGATGCTGTTCTATAATACTCTCAAGACACTCCCATTTCTATTTAGCAATTTGCTGCTACAAGGCCATATAGATAAACATAAAACTCTATATAGATGCGACAAATTTCGAATAGTTTCCTCTTTACTTGTTTGTTGATTTTAAGCAAAGGATAGAGATCTTGGTCATCGTCAGGTGATTCAATCTTTAAAAAAGTAACTAAACCATAAATCTTGCGCAGTGGGTAAATAAATGAAATTACATGACTGATAGACACTGTGAATTTATTTTACTCAATAAAATTCACAGTATCTATCAGTAAAATTACCCCTTTCCAATGTTTTATCAGCAAATGAAATAATTCAATAGTAATTTACGTCATCTCCACTATAATATACGATATTGACTTCTAACGCCTAAGTACCCGGTATTACCCAGTACATTTGGTTTTCATGTCGCTGCCAATTATATCTGTACGTATCTGGAGAGCGGTTTGCTTTTCTAGATTCTGGTGCTCAGGGCAAAGGATCCGGAGCAGTGAAAGGCATCAAGCAATCTTCAGCGCCTTAAATTATTGTTTTACCAGTAATGCCGCGCGCTTACTGGTTATAGCCAACTCAAAAAACGAGATTTCGATATGTATCAAAATCGTTATGCCGTTGTAGATTTATCCACGGTTAGCGCTAAGCAGATCTAGAAGCGTTCGTACGACGCTGATAATTGCAGTAGCAACAATAGCAACAATACCAAGTGACGAAAATAAAATTGGGATATTTATATGCGGACTCCTGTATGCTGCTGTTTAAACATAAAGCGTGCAATAAATTTTTCTTAAATTCGACCATCTGTCCCCAATCAATCACTTTCACCTATTATGGTTCGTGTTGTTTACACGAACACTTCTCAATACCCCAATGATCATCTATTCCGAATTAAGTTTCAAGGGGTGATTTGTCAATTAACTGGATTTTAGCCATATCCTCCATGTTTATCAACGGCGAAATCTATCATCGGGCAGTGTCAGAGGTAAATGCTATTCCCACCATATGCATAACAACTAGCGATAACCCGCAGCTTATACGTACACGTATAAGCATATATGGAGATCGCATTATTTATTATATATGTCATTTCCATATGATGTTCGGCAGCCCTTAAAGGAATTCACGCACACCTCTCTAAAGCGGCTGGGAATTTTTTGTAAACTACGTTCACCTCCGTTAAAGCATTTCCAGCGTGAAACTGCCCCAAGAACGGCCACCCTATATAATAAAAGTCGGCGTAATTTTTTGATAAATACAAGAGGCTTCTGACTACACTTTACTGGAAGTTTACCATATAAAGAAGATATCTATTTTAACGTCTAAGAGTTCCCTTCTTTTCGCAAACGAAGGTTTGATGTTCTAGAAATAATAAAATTGCTATGGCTCATTTTCGATTTTTTCTACAGTCTGTCGAAAACAGTCGTAGCCAATTCACACATCGTTGTCTTGGTTATTTATATGTCTAGTAACGGTTGCCGAAAGAGGAATACAATGAAATGTATTATGATTACGATATTATTACATATTAGTATTATTCGATATAATTATTCTCCGCTAAAAAAGTTCGTTTTCTTCTAAAACGATTATAATGAACTCACATTTCTGTTGCTAAGTGTATAAAAACTTCTTTGAACTTCGATGAAAGGCGCAATGGTAATGGAAAACATCTACTATCAAATGCTAGAGTAATCATTGGTACTATTTTTAAATAAAGCGTAATGCTGCTAACCTGATGAAGACTTCTAACACGGACCTTCGTCATTTCGACATCTTTGAGACCTTAAATTTAACATCTGCAGACGAAAACGATTTGAAGGACTTTCACAATCGCTGAAAAATCAATGCCAAGTTCGTTCATTACTTTGAACAGACAAATGTAAAAACCGAGTGTTTTTAATCCATAGACAACACCGACTATGTTCTTATTCGATTGTGCACTCACGGTGCTTCCGCGGGCTATTACAGGGTCCATAATGCGATTTGACTTCATGACGCCACGTAAGTGTGATCAGTGCTCAGGGATACAGTACTAAGGACCTCATAGTCCACGGAAGATACTATCTGTCAAGGTCTTGATGAAGGTTTGACACTATCTTGTAAATCTCAAATACTATTGCACCTATTAGAAGGTTGCAACCGAATGCGGCAAATCTTGAAATTTGATAAACTTTGTACTACACGCGGCTAAAAAACAAAATCTGGCTTGTAAGTCGTTCCGTTTGCTAAGAACTTGGTTGAGTTTATTCAACGAGCAGTATTTCGAAAATCAACGCTCAGTAATCAAGTTCTTGTTCCTCACGCCGCCACAACACTGCAGAAATTTATCGAAAATAAATAAAGATTCTCAACATGGCACACTGTTTAAGATTCGAGGAAACGGGAAACTAGAACTTCCTCCAAAATGAGCCCATATTCTATTAATTGACGACTGAAGGAGTTGTTGTGTGTATAAGTTACATTCAAAGCAGTTTATAGTGATAGAACATACACTTTACAAACATGACCTTTTAAAAGAGTACTGACGTTTACAAACACCATATATTTTTACCAAGAACCCTTCGACGAGGGAAAATTCTCAGACCCGTTATGTAATGATGAATGGGTGAGTGAGTAAAAAAATGTTTAGTTCATTAGGTGTTTTCGACTGCATATATGCTGTCGTATAACCCATCGTCAAGGAAGAATATCTGCTTGATAATCTAACAGCACTTGTTGAATTTATTATTCCTTGTGATTTATGGCCAACACATCTTTATCATCAGCAGGATTGTTTACATATTATATAATCCTTCCCTTTACTCGGTTTTGTTTAGAGACTGTGTCTCTAAACTAATTCAGATCGGTACATACAGATAAAGCTATAAGCCCTCATTTTCTACGTTAATCTGGATAGTACGATGGTACTCATATGACCTGATGTCCCACACAAAACAGTCCAAAAATCGAAATTAATATCGGGAACCCAGACGAAATTATACAGACTTTGTCCCCTATGCCAAATGTTGGTTAAGAATGGACTGGTACGCCTTTCAAGCGGCTCCAAGTGAAAGTAGTAGAATAATAAAATGACAGAAATTACCGTGATCTTTGCCCTTTTCACACTCCCCCGCGCGCAACGGTTGAAGTGAAATGGAGATGACAGATGGCGATTCTGTTTTAGCAGAAAGCTCGCTATGTAATTATTATTTTAACCATTGAACCTCATGAATTAACGCCCTGTAATCTTCTTCAGGTGATGCATCTTTCTTTCTTTTTTCATGAATCAAATAACACAACTGGAAGGGTTTTCACAGTGGCAAATAAAAGTATAGGAAATACTGACGAACAGAAATGTAGAAGAGGCGCCGAATTCTATCAATATCAGAAGCTGACGAGGCGAACATACTAGAAAAGTGGATAGCGCAAAGGCTATTATCAGACAACTGATCAGTCAGTGTCTGTGTCAGGGACGCTGTCAACGCGGCGGGAGGATCTCTTAAGTAGTTGAGTTAAAAAGTAAACTTAATTTCATCATGCAAAACCATCACAACGCTAGTAGCGAACACAAAGGTGATGCCGATGTCCAATTGTATTGCCGCATTGGTCATCGAAATCTAGCTAAGATAATGTGACAGTTCCTAAAAATATTGAAAATAAACAAATATATCGTAAATACAAACGTTGGTTTACAAAGACAAAAAACACGCCTCGTTCTAACATTCTGTGTCCTACCAGATGAAAAATATGGGAAATTAGTTACCATGAGTGAAATGGTTTTCCGTAAACGAGATACTAAGATTTATTTGGACAATGGGTCATCAAGCAGTCTTGTTTGGGACAGATAGCGGAAATACCCTATGCTGCCTACTGCTCATATTCAAACTATTCTTTTAATTTATGCCTGATATTTAGAAAGCCGAACGACAGCTTTATTTATTTAATATCGCAGTAAAATTGGGCCGGCAGAAATAATGCATAAGCAGTATGTTTACCAGAATACAGAAATTGTGTTTTGAGTATTGCCATCAACGTACACAATGAAAGTATGACGGAAAAAAATATAAGCCAACATTCTGACGATGTTCGACTGAAATTTCACATTTTTTTTTGCTATTTGTAGAATGAACTTGGGTAAAAGATTAAATTTGTGTTAGTAAAAATTCGGACGTACAGCACAATAGTTCGATATAACATGCCTAACTATTAAAATCGCTTTGTCCAAAATTAAAAGAGAAAGCAGGGTTTAATATCACGCATAGATCGATTACGATTGCGTAGCATGAACGTTTAGAGCCTTAATCCAGCCGACGGTTAAGTGCAGTACATGGGTTCGTTTTGTGCTTAAAAGCACGTTGCCTTTAAGTCAGCCAAATTCAGGTCTCGGTGCTTATCAGAAAAATCATTTTTCACGTAAACAGGAAGCAACCCAAGCTTTATATGCTTGACAAGCCAGCCTAAGCTAGTTTAATATAAGATAGTCATGCTTTTACTGCTCCCATCCCATTGCTCCTAGACACTTGCTTATGATCTTTAAGCAAATACATTTTTTTCGAATAGAGGGCAGAACGTGGTTGTTGTAAACTGGAATTCAAGTACCTTCTGTACAGGGAACGTTATAGCTGTTCAATCCGGCATTCCAGGAAGGCATAAAACTTCTGGTTATTTTCTTGTCACAGAAAATATGGCTATATTTAGATAATTAAAGAGGAAAGCATTGCCTTTTTCCATGTGTTCATCCATATATATATATATTTCTTTTCCTAGGCACTTACTTTCCGTTATGAAACCGTGCTATCCAAATAGTAACGTTGATTCACATAAACTTTAGAACTTCCATCAAACTGAATCAAAAGCCTCGGTTACAGTGGCATAGATTAATGTATCAGTGCTTAGTTGAATAGTGAGTTTGGAACCCTCTAGGCTTTCGTTAGAGTCCTCCGTTTCTTAGTGAAGTAAATTCTTCTAGCTCTTCATTGTAAGTCACGGCCGGCCATAGCTATTAAATAGCCACAGCGGTGGACTTCGGCTATCCGAATGTATACGTCGATAGTTGTATCTACTTGTTGAAATCTTCTTTGCTCTGACAAGCTCCTAGTTCACTGCGATACGCCAACTATTGTCCTGAAAAATCTCTGAAGTCTCGCTTAAGACGATAGAATTTCAAGCTAGATGCGTGAAAAAACATGGGTGAGTAATTTCGGGAATAAATTAACATAATTTGTACACGTTAGATATTGGTATTTCTCTATACTGCGCTAAAGTTTACTTCAGGGGGTTGAAAGGGATCGTAGGTACAGCGTGCCTATTCGATTTCTCAAGTTATTGTCCCAATCGCACGAAACGATAAGCCATTTTTGTTGAATTGTTGATTGAGGTTTTTTGTCAACGAGTTTTCATCGTAATACACGATAAGTTATATGTTGCATTTTTATGAAATTGCAAATTATAGAAATAGTCGCTGTAAGACAGTATACCTAGCTTTTATTCGATATCGGCGGTTTATAATTCTAAATATGAGTTAAAGTTCATCATTGAGTTAAGACTTCCCGGGCTCATAACACTTTAGTATCGGCGTAATAAACTCCATTTTCGTTTGACGCATAATCCCGTTTATTTCCAAGTATGAAAGTCTTATTTTTACGACATAATTTCTACCTAGTAAAAATATATGCAATATTTCCATAAAGGATATGCTGGTTTTGCATTACACCAGTGCCTAAAGAGAGAACCGTGTCCACATGGTTCATTGATTCGACTGCTTAGGAACTTGTGTCGTAAACAAGAGTTGAGAATTAACAATTATGTTATTTCAAAACTGTTAGCATTTGTTTAGCGTTTTTAAAATGGAGATTTATCGCAAAACGTTAAGTTGCTAAAATTTAATTGACAAACGATTACAGTGTGTTTTTAGTGTTTGACCGGCATGTAGAGTATACGTATAAATCTATATTCAGATCTGCACAGCTTTGCGGATCTGCACGGCGTGTGGGTCTGTACAGCCCATCGTATAGAAATTTTGTCAAGCAGAAATAGCACGTGAATAAGGAAAGCGAATAAGACGGTGTATTAAAAAAATATTTCATTGAAGTAGCTTATTAGCAATCAGATCATTAGACATCACTACGAACGAAACTTCACTAAAATTTAACTTCTATTAGTTGTGAGCACCTCTGTGTATGTCAGTTCTAAGCAGATACATTGGAGTTAATGGAATAACCATAACACCACTACCGTCTGAACAGAGTCAGCATCGGCTTCTCACCTTAGGTTAGTTCCTCAGTCAGTGTTCTACAGACACTGAGAGTTCTCGTAAGAAAA